CCCCAAACAAGCCCCTCCTCCTCCAGAACAGCCCCAGTCTTGTACTGTCACCGGCAGCGCACGGTCAGCCCTTCTCTGTACCAGCAGCTCTCGCCCCACATATGTCCGTGCCTCTCCCAAGCCTTCCCTTCTCTAAGGAGTCCCAGACGGCTCACAGAGTCCTCAGGCACAAGGTGCCCCTCCTTCCTGCCCTCCCACCCACCTCTCATCCCTGTGAGCCCCAATTTAGTCTTTCCCAGAGGAGGAGGCCAGGCCGTGTGATGACATTGCTCTGCCCTGATCCCTAGCCCTTTCCTAATCAATCCTGGCATTTGATTCCCTTCCTTTTGTTGTCGATCACTGACGAGCACCCACATGACCCTGTTACAGACCCACCTCCCACAGCCCTCACGCCGATGGCCGGCTCAAAGCCCACATTTCACACATGAAGCCCTGATTCCTCCCCGGCCAGCAGAGGTATCCCCTGACAGTTACGGGCACTGAGTTTCCATGGCCATTCTCTTCTCCGTTCTCTCGGTCTTGCGAGATCGTTGTCCGTTAACTCACGCTGAAGCACCCTGAATAATACCTTAGCAGCAGCAGAACTTTTCAGCTCCCTACTCCCACCACCATCTGCAGCTGTGGCACTGCTGGTGCCAGTCAGACATGCACAACCCTGGGCTCACGCTGTATGGAATCGTTTAGGTTGGAGAAGACCTTCAAGATCATCAAGTCCAACCACTAACCCCACACTGCCAAATCCACAACTAAAACACATCCCTAAGCACCTCATCCACAGGTCTCTTAAATCCCTCCAGGGATGGTGACTCAACCACCTCCCTGGGCAGCCCCTTCCAATGCCTGATAACCCTTTCCATGAAGAAATGTTTCCTAACATTCAACCTGAACCTCCCCTGGTGCCACTTGAGGCCATTTCCCCTTGTCCTATCACTTCTCACTTGGGAGAAGAGACCAACCCCCACCTCTCTGCATCCTCCTTTCAGGCAGTTGCAGAGAGCCATAAGGTCTGCCCTGAGCCTCCTCTTCTCCAGGCTGAACACCCCAGCTCCCTCAGCCGCTGCTCACAGGACTCATGCTCCAGACCATTCCCCAGCTCCGCTGCCCTTCCCCGGACACAACCCAGTGCATCTCATGCCTGCTGCTGACATGGTGCATCTTTCCCTCATCATTGGGCAGCACAGGGGGACGATCCCTGCCCTGCTCCTGCTGGCCACAATTTCCCTGATGCTGGCCAGGATGGCATTGGCCTTCTTGGCCACCTGGGCACATACTCAGCCTGGCTCACACTCAGCCAACGTCGACCAGCACTCCCAGGTCCTTTTCCACCAGGCAGCTTTCCAGCCCCTCATCCCCAAGCCTGTAGCATTGCAGGGGGTTGTTGCAGCCCCAGTGCAGGACCCAGCCCTTGGCCTTGCTAAACTGTATCTGCCTCTGTGTCTCCAAACCATCCTGGACTGCAACAGCCTTCCTTATCTGACAGCACTTAGGAACCCGTGCTGCCAACGAGCAGCATGATACAAACCCAACACAGTTTACACAGAGCTGTAAGAGTTTTTTCTGGCAGTGCCCTCCTCTTTGCTCAGTGACATCTCTGCAACAGCCTCACTGGGGAGGGCGTGTGTGGGGGCGGCCTCTGAATTAATACCCAGGAGCCAAATTTCATGTGTGTGTAGCACTGGCTCAGTTTTGCGAAATCGGCCACTGCAGACTCTAAGCCATTAATCTAATGAGGCACTATTAAAGGGCAGAAGCAACTGCAAAAAAACTCCCCTCTCAGTACTCAGCTCTGCCCTGTGCTTCTTCAAGCACAAGCAGAAATCACCACATGGACTGCTCCTGTGCTCCAGCCCCTCAAACACAACAACACAACAAAGGGATTTTGTTCTCTCTGGCACACCCCTGTAGGGCACAGTACTGCAGGTGGCCGTGACGAGCAGAAAAAAGGCTAAATGGGGCTGTAGAACCTTCCTGTATCACAAAGGAAAATGCCTGCATGTCCCAGAGCTCAAGGAAAGCCTTGGTCAGGCTGAAATTCCACCACCAAAGCTGTGTCACTTTAGTACATGCTGCCTGGACTGCAGGCTGGGCCCAGTACAGCTGTACCGGCTTGGCCCGTCGGAGGTCTGGTCACAAATTGAACTCAATCCTGATGTGCTGTTAGTGCTATTATCACTTATCGAGACATTAATTACAAGCAACGGCTATATGCCAGCCACTCCACTTACCCCAAATGTCCACTGCTGCGAGCCGCCGGAGCCATGGCATTTCATGAGACGAGGTGGATCGGACGAGCGAGTTTCCGAAACATCCAAGCAAAGGAGATTGTTTAAAATCAGCTCGTGATCTTCATTGTAAATCCAGACCTGAAAGAGGAGACAGAAAGACATTTATCCCAATATTGCACGGCAGCTGCCCTGGATCTTTTATTTGGCTACAGAGGAAGCGCTTTAGTATCTGGAGTCAGAGCTGTGCCTTGCAATGCTCGCTGCATCTTTGCTGCCTTTTCTCCAGCAACTGAAATAACTGCCGTGCCCTGTTGCCTTCCCAGCGTCACACAGCGTTAGCCCACGCAGAGCCACTGAAAGGACCGCTTGTGATCCTGCTCTTCACTAGCTTTTTAAGAATAAAGCAGCCCACGTATGCTCCTGTGTCCAGGCAGCTAGAGAAGATAACGCAGCAGGCGGTAGATCTGTGAGCAGGTGACCAGCTGCGTCGTTAAGCCAGGCAGTAAATCTGCTTATCCAGAGACAATCCTTTAGTCATGAAGGAGAGGCTGGTGGATTGCCTCAGCTCCACACAGGGAGCCAGCACGGGGCCAGGGGAGGATGCTGGGTGACAGCAAGCAGCCAAAGAGCTGTGGGGAAGTAACTTGGCAGGCAAGCAAGGCCAAAAGGTATCCCCAATCTTCTTTGAAACTGCTGCATTTGTCCCTAAACACGCTGAAATTTGTTTAACACTGTGCATCGGGGTCAGCTATGCAAATTCTGGTGCCAGGCAGCCTACAGCAGTCACCACTCCGGTCCCAGGGTCCTGCTCCTTGGAGCTGGGGGCCTGCAGCTCAGAGATCTTCACTCAATTAGAAGATGATCTGGATCTCCAGATGGTATTAAAACTTTCCATACTGGTCTCTGGGGAGAAGAGGAATCACTGCTTCACCATTCCCCTTCTGAAACTGCATGCTCCATAACTGACAGGTTTATGTCTTCTCTGCTCCCCAGCCAAACTGCTTTTGCTAGCTGTGCCATGCTCGGGTGGAGACCAGCCCTCCCCCATCACACCCAAGTTGTTTTAGCTGAACCAGCATGAAAATGTCTTGAGCTGGAACTCAGGAACTTGCACAATACCCCAGCAGCTCACAACACTGGTGGGAACTGCATTCAGTTCCTCACCAGAGCCCACATGTATAAAGCAACAATGTACCGGTTCACATTTCCAGCTTCAGCTGCGCTTGGGTTCCAAACTGAGATGACATCACAGCAGTTTCTCCGCTACCACGCTGAAAACTATCATCACCTCTAACAAGAAGCAAGGACACACTCAATCTGCCAGTTTGTCCTCTCCCATGTGCTATTTGGGCACAAACAGGTATTTTTATTGTTGGTATACCACACCGTCAGGCACGTTGAGTTTCTGCAGTCGGTGCCCAGACCTTGCTAGCTCCCACTGGGCAGCCCAGACCTTGTTTTGGAGCAAAGCTTGTCTGACACAGCAGAAGGTTCAGGGAAGCTGCACCACCAGTCTGGTCTAACTACAGGAACGGCTGGTGTCCCCCCTCTCCCTCCATCCATGCCTTCAGGCCTGCAAAGTCCTGGGCCAGCATCAGTTAGATGGAGGACCTGGAGCTCTCATAAACAATGGGAGACTGATCCCTGGGTCAGGAAGCAAAGAAATGGATGAACTTCGGTGTATGCACCTCAAAATACCCTGGGTTAGAAAGAGGCAGGGTAAAGAAGGAGAAATTATGTGAGAACTGTAACTCTGCAGTGTGAGGAAGATACTGAGACCACCTGGCAGGACACCAAACAACTGCTACTCTGGAATGCACAGCAGGGTCCCTGCACTCACATGGCCCCCAGACAGCATCTCCCAACACCTCTGGATGCTGAGGAGGCGACAGCACAGCCAGACTGGTCTCGGTCTGCTGGCATTCCCAGGCTTGACCCCAGGCTGGTGCATACAGGGAGCACCCCTGCTCATCCACCTTGCTTGCACCATCAACTCCCTTCCCCCTGGCTTCTACCTCTGTGAATCAGGGCACTGAGCCCCTCACAACTGGACCTGCAGACACCCCAAGTTCTTCTGGTACACTCTTCTTCCAGCCCTGTTTTGATTTCTCACAGCTCGGTGATGCAGTAAGCATGCAGCATTTTTTTTTCCACTGTGTCTGCATGAGTTTCACACTCTGAGCAGAGAATATCAAATTCCAGGCAGAAAAGGCAGGAAAATACAACAAATTCTGATTTCTCTTTTTTTGTCTGATGAAACAGAAACTCAAAGCAGTCTTCTGGAGGGAGCTGTGATTGAGGACACTGCGTCAGTTGGACGGCACGATGTAAAGCGTACAGCTCATCCGTTATCACAGTGACTCATACAGCCACGGCCTCCTTTGAGGAAGTGCAGGTATTAATTACATTAAAATTTGCCCTAACCTCAGGCGTTCTGCGCCTTCTCACACACTTCTGTTTAAATCCTGTCATGAGAAGGAAAGCATGACAAGATTAAAGAGGAGGAGAGACTGGAGAAATAGCAGGACTTGCCAGAAGACTATTATTATTAAAAGAATAATGATGGAGCCAAATCCAAACAGGCGAAACGAGTAAGAGGTCAAGAAGACTGCAGTGACACAGGGAGCAGACCTTTAATCAAAAGCTGAGTAACTGCAAAGAACATACAACAGGTTAAATCCAGTATGACACTTCTCCAGAAAGGCGTATACAAGACAGCCAAAATTAATTTCAAACTAGTTATGTGTTTGGTGCTAACAAAGAAAAAATAAAAAAGGCCCGAACTTGGGACACATTATGGTTCCAAATTCAGATTAGAGTATCCGTAGGAGCTTAAGATTATTAACAAACTCAAGTAGGAGGAAAGCAAAGCCATCCCACAGGGGTTTTCTGTTATAAAACCACAGGCCTTCACATACTCCAAAATTTATTAACTACTTTGCCGATGAAGACTGGAAGGACAATGCTTAGCTCTTGTTACAGTTTGTCAGAAGCAACAGCATGGGAAGGAAAACTCTCCTGGCACCCAGCACTGCTGGTATCTCATCTACAAGGGGAATAAACTGCTCTCATTTTCCTTTTGTCCTTACTTGGATTCAGGCTCACACGCAGTATCAGAAGTCTATAATCAATAAGGTGCCTCCCTAAGATTTATACCTCAGTTCTGAGTGTTTTCTTTTATCCTCCTACATATTTTCTCCCCCCAATAAGAGACAGACATTTTTAAAATTAATTTTATTTAAAAATTGGTAACAGATGAGGTGCTGGATGTTTTCATCCTGCATCTATTCCCCAAAATCTAGGAGAGCCTCACTGTCAGATTTTTGTTTCTAAGACTAGAACTGTGACCAGCTCCCACCACAGGGGAAAGCAGCACCTTTAATTGCTCTTCCCCAGAGACACATGCCAATGACTGATCTGCTCCACAGCTCTAAGGAAAAAATCACTGACCATTTTCACTGGAGTCAAATATTCCAGGATGCATTTAGAATATAATGAATTGTTTCTGTTTTCAAGTAAAATCTAAATCATAGAACCATCATCATAGAATGGTTTGGGTTGGAAGGGACCTTAAAGATCATCTAGTCCCAACCCCCCTGCCATGGGCAGGGATACCTTGCACTAGACCAGGTTGCTCAAAGCCTCATCCAGCCTGGCCTTGAACACTTCCAGGGATGGGGCATCCACAGCTTCTCTGGGCAACCTGTTCCAGTGCCTCACCACCCTCTCCATGAAGAATTTCTTCCTGATATCTAAACCTCCCCACTTTCTTTTTAAACTCATTCCCCCCTGTCCTGTCACTCCAGGCCCTTGTAAAAAGTCCCCCCCAGCTTCCTTGTAGCCCCTTCAGGTACTGGAAGGGGCTATAAGGTCTCCCCGGAGCCTTCTCTTCTCCAGGCTGAACAAGCCCAACTCTCTCAGCCTGTCCCCATAGCAGAGGGGCTCCAGCCCTCTGAGCATCTTCGTGGCCTCCTCTGGACTCGCTCCAACCAGTCTATATCCTTCTGATATTGAGGGCTCCACAGCTGGACGCAGCACTCCAGGTGGGGTCTCACCAGAACAGAGTACAGGGACAGAATCCCCTCCCTCGACCTGCTGGCCACACTTCTCCTGATACAGCCCAGGATACGGTTGGCTTTCTGGGCTGCCAGCGCACATGGCCAGCTCATGTCCAGCTTTTCATCCACCAGCACCCCCAAGTCCTTCTCCTCAGGGCTGCTGTCAATGGCAGGTGCTATGGAAAAGCCTCCCTCCGTAATGAAAATGACCACATTTTGGGTTAAATAAATTATTTAATTTGGTGAATGTTGTACGATTGGTCTCTTTCTAGCAGCTCTCTTCCCTGCCTCAACACAGGCAACAGGATAAGAGGAAAGGTCAAGGACCCCTTCAGTGTTGGAGTGCAGGGGCCCATTCAGCTGCTGACCAACCCTCTGCGGTCCTAGATGTCTCCAGACCACCTAGAGATCTTCCCAAAGGCGAGGCATTTCAGGTTTGGCAGTGCTCAGACACCTGCCCAAGCCTCCCACCCACCGGAGGCAATGCCTTCACCTTTGGCTACAGGGGCCTGCTCATGCTTTGTTTCCCAGACTGCAGCAGCTCGTTCAATTTTTCCATAGTGGAAATGGGAACTCTGTTCATATCGACCTTTTTTTACACAGGTGAAGCTAGAAGAACTGGATTTTTAATTTAGTCCCCTCAAAATGTAGTTCAGACTATTTACAGATTTAAGACCAAGGTTTCCTAGGGCTTCTAATACCTTCAGGATTTTACTTCACCCCCATATAACACAAACAAATCACCAGCCTTCTCCTGGACTGAATGCCATGCTGGCTTCATTAACCTCATTTACACACAGACAGGTGGGTAGAAGCAGAGCTTCTCCTCATTATAGCCTAAGGAACAGCCTCAGTGATGACTACAGCTTAACTCCTTGCAAGGACAGCAGTGTGACATTGCTGAAGACGGGAGAGTGGAGCTGTTTTGCCCTCTCATTTTACTAATATCTGGATTTCCTAATTGGTTTCAGGTTGCCACTGTTGGTAGGCAAGGCATGCTCTTCACTCCCTCCATAAACCCCTATACCCCAGGGATCCCCTGCCAGGATTTTTTTTTACCTTAATAGAGAGACACGGTACTGAATTTTTTGGTTTGGGTGAAAGATGAAGTTATTTCCACAGTGAGATTAATTAATGTAAATAGATAACAGCTAGCTGAGGAGGAAATTCAAGTGGGGAAAGAGCTCAAATAGTCCATCACCATCTGGAAGGATGGTCCATACTATCATTTCTTTTGAAAAATGAAGTTACCTATAGAAGATTGAGTCCGCTGTCAATACAAACAACTATAGTAAACCAAAACCTATCACCAGACCTAGGGAAAAACAATAAATTAAAGCATCTGTAGTAGGTAGAAAAGGGAAGCTCACTGTTCCTAGGGAATAAATATTTCCAAGCGATATGAAATAAACCAGGAAGCAACAGCCTACCCTTTGGTTTTCAGAGTGCAGTGGAGCATAGCAAAAGGCATGGCTGGCCAACTGGCAAAGCTCTGTGGATACACACTTTTTATTTGGTCTGCAAATTGCATTAGCACTACAGGAATGCATTGAAAATTTTCAGTAGATACAAGACAGTAACTACTACAGAAACATCCTTTGTGTGAAAGAAAATCCCTGCCGTGAACCATGCCGGCAGGAGAAGCATTCCAGTACTTTCATCAGTTACAATCTGTTGCTTAGCTTGGCACTACTGGATTATTCTGTCAGACAGTTTTTAGAAGACAGAAATTCAGCTTAAGAGCACAAAAACGCTGCCTCAGCACTGAAGAAGAGATGTGCCGAGCAATTTGCATCAGCACAGCTGTTTGCATATACTTCAGCTCCCGTCATTACAGGTAACAACGACATCACAGCACCAAATGACTTGGGAAAGGCACCAGAAACAGCCAAGTTTGGTGGCCTATAGTCATCATTCTAAACTATTGCTGCCCTGAAAACCCAATGTCCTCCTGGAGGCCATTCCAAAGTAGACACATGCTTGCTGTTTCACAGTTCAGTGTGTGGCTGATGTTCTACAACCATTTATCCGAGGGACCGAAGAACTATTCCCCCAATAGTTTCTGGAAAAGCTGGAAGCAGACTTGACCTGGACATCTTCACGCTCACTCTAGACACGTGTGAACTTGGCTTTAAGCGTTTAGGACAGGAAGAGGGCAAGCACGCGTTAGCTACATGACAAACCCAAACTTCTTTTGGCTGTCAGATCCCAAACACTCCCACTAGTTTGTCCTACACTGGCCTTTGTGCTTCACTCCAAAACCTTCCTTTTCAGTCTTCCTGATGACTCTCTTCCAAGTTTGTCAGTAACTACTTCCACTCCTCCTCCTTTAGGGCAGCATCTAGCCTAAAGCATCTTTCAGCATCCTTGTCTCCTAATCACAGCCTGCTTAACCTTGGCATGATGGCTTTGGGTAGAACCTACACCACAGTTTTGCTCCCACTTCTCAGACACCTCTAGTTTTTTGTGATGATCTTTCAACACAAATAATTTCTGTGCTTCTTCAGCAACAAAGTTTTTGTGGTGTACACTACCTTGTGCATTCTCAGTCTTGTTTCCAGCAAGAGGTCAGATACGCTACTGAATTTCAGGAGAGCGTAACTTGGGCAACCTTGGCAGGTCCTTCCCATGACCATGCTTCAACTACAAAATTTTAGTGTTCCATTTGCAAAATTCACAATCAATTCTTCTGCTTGTTCTGTTACTTCAGACCTCTCTGCCCTGACCTTTGTTCTCCAAGACCCTCTCACTGCTTCTACTTGTGCTATTTCTAGCTACAAAATTTTAATCACTTATGCCTAAATTTGTGTAATCCCCAGTATTACTCCAAACTATTTGTGTTATAGTTAGTGAAATGTCTTAGTTTGCATTATAACTTAAGTGCATTTTTTCTAATTTAATTTAATTTCTAGATGCATCATCTGTGTAAGAACCACTTCTTATTACTTTTTCTTTCTACAGCAAGAAAATGAATGGAACGTCACTGTCACATCAAGTCCTAGAAAACAGGATAGTTCGATGTGCTTGAGTAATTTTTAACTTTACTTAATGATGATCATCTAAGTCAACTTCTCTTAAAAGTATTACCCATAATTGCGATACAACTTCAAGTTACGCATCAGCTGTTATTTCTTTTAAATCAAGGAGGTAAGTGACAATTTGAAGTTTCTTGCCAGCCATGAAGGCTAGAGAAAACCAAGGATAAATTAAAGGCAAAACAGACTCGCTTGTAAGGCCAATCTCATGACTTTACGTGAGTCTGGTTTACCCACACACACGCTTTTCAAGGTCAGCTCTCACATGCATGAAGCATTTATATTTACACAGAAGATCATTTTCCAACCTAAAAGAACTGCAATCAATGAGTCTTAAGGCAGCCCGGTTCTGTTTTCTCAGGTAGCCTGCACCTTGCTCCTTCAACTTACTGAGTGGCAGCATGTATTTTTCAAGGGAGGGCAAAAGCAGCCTGGGAAGAAATAAAATGATGGCTTAATTCCTGTTTCTCAAATACAAGTTAGCTGGCATCAACGAAATCAGCACCAAGTGGCAACAAGTTATTTCCACATAAAGCAGAGCTAAACCGTGGTACTCACTGCCACAGGATGTCAAAAGCTTACATGAGGTCAAAATACATTTAGACACCCACGAAAAGGCAAAAATCCTGCAAAAAATACCCCATTTGGCTCAGAAAAACAAACTAAAAGACACAGAAATACTGCTCACACAGTACAGATTGATAATTATCAGACTGACCGTACTGTGCGTATTAAGCAACACCCACTTCACTTACAGCCAGTGGGCATCCAGGGGACAGGGTAGCTGGGTACCTGCCTTTCACCAGACCCAACACAGGCTTTCTTATTAGGCCAAAGGCATAAATCAGATGGTTCTAGAGCAAAAATCACCTGAAAATGCCAATGGGTTGAGTGCTACCAGAAACGACAGTGAAAAGCTTCCAACTCGGGAAGTTTCTTGCTATTTTTATAAACAGAAACTGTTAAATGTGTCATCTTTCTCTACATTGTCTCTAGGAAGACTGTTCCAGATATGAAAGAAAAGCTGGCAGAATGCACTCTTGAGATTTATTAGGAGAATGAAGTTAATCTAATGGCAGAAAACCACAGTGTTGGTTAACATACCTGGTCAGAGAACAAAATCACCATGAAAGAAAATAGCACAGCCAGTTTTATTATGAGAATTGCTTAATTTACCATTAGTAAACTAGACTGATGAGAAAACAAGACAAAGATCAATGATCTGAGCATTAATTTGTCTTTCTCAACACCAAAGGTCTAATTGAAGTTTCTGTCTCCAGAAGGAGTGTGTGTGTGTCGGGGGGAAATCAGGAAAAGCTGCAGACAAGGAAAAACAGTCGCCTTCCTCCTGCAGCCATGTGGTGGTTCACTATTAGAGATACTGCAGGAAGGAGAAGGGAAACAGTAACTGCAAGGACCCGTCTGTTCTTATTGTGGACATCACCCGCCGGAAGTCACTGCTGCTTTCTCACTCACAGACTGAACGGCTCAAAGCAGCACAGCACCTCTGGGCCTGTAAAAGTACAGCCACTGGTGCCATCAGCTACGATGACATTTCCACAGGCTGGAAGACTTGCTGACTTCCCTGCAGCTAATGGAACAGATCACATAGGAAAACCTCAAAACCCATTCCATCTGATGTTCGTCCCCCTTTAAAACAGGTGCCCACAGTTTGGTAACAGAGAAGATTACTCCGTACTCCACGGGCAAAGCGCAGGGATGTATGGTTTGCCCTAAGTGGCCACTGGAAACCAAGTGTCTGCAGTCAACTGTACTGCATCCCTCTGTCACATTCAACTGGTGAGCCCACAGGTAGGAGGCAGAAAGCCTCATCAGTTGACCAACTTCTTTGGGACAATTAGAAATCATCCTGCTGCAGTTCCCATATCCTGAAAACCACTGCCCATTTCCTAAAGTATCAGGTTAGTCTAGCTCAACACACCTTTGGTAAAGCAACACTGTATAACATCCCATGCTCCATTTATTTTGTGTCTTGGATTGCTTTGCTCTTTAGATGTAATCTAGTTTTTAGACCTGGGTTCCATGGGCTCCTAAACCATAAATTCTCAGTGTTGTTCTTAGCTAGGTGAAAGCCTTTATGGCATTAGAGAAAGATCTCTCTACCCTGGAGACTGTTTACCCAAGTCCTGAATTTGTTGTCTGAAAGAAGGGGAATAGAAAGGGCTTCATGTAGTAACATCAAAGCTCTCATTAGATTTACACATCCAATTCCAATTAATCTTCCCTGGTAGCCAAATAATTTTTCCTAATTCCTTCAGATTCCTTCTGTTTAAAGATAGCAACAAATCATTTCTTCACCCCAAACTACAACCGCTCCAACAGCTGAGGACTAGTTATACAGGACACAAAGAACTGCTGCCTTAAACCCTGGTAAGAGGAACTGACTGAAAGTGCTTCTACAGATTCTGAAGTGTCAATCAGTGGATTATGAACCTGTCGGGAGCCACTTAAAGACAGTCTTCAGCCACATACCAAGGCTCATGCCGTAAAGACAGGAGACTATAATACCCAACGCTCAGCATCAGTACGTACAGAGCAGTAAGCTCCACGGTTTCCCTGGCCAGCCTTGCGGTTTGAATGATACTCTGAAATCAGCCTGCTGATGATGAGATGTTATACGGGGGCACTTTGCCAGCAGGAAAACACATTTGCAATGTGTAAGATGTGAATCACTATTCAATATAATTAGGAAGGTCTTACCTGGTTTTGATCGTTGTAGTCACATTCCCGAACCACTACCAGGCCTCCTTTCTGACTAGGGTGGCCCTGGGCAACCAGGCATTTGTTGGTTTGAAGGTGATACAACTATGAAAGGAAGACAGTTTGATGGACAGAGTAAATACCAACATCACATACCAAAGGGAACATATGATAATGCTTTGGGAGTCCTAGGACTCTATGTGCTCACTAAAAAAAAACCCAACCAGCCTGCAATAAAAAAAAAAAATCCTTCCCTTTCAAAACACCACTTTGTTTTTCAGATAATTTAGAGGAAAAAAACAGCATTAAGTAGTTAGTAGCTCCACTTTGCTTTGTAATTACATCAAGATTTTCCTATTTATGGTACAAGTGCAGTAAACACAGCATGGCTCAGCACATGCTGGCCATACTCTCAAGTTTCTTTCCCCTCTTCACTTTCCACAGAAGTCTCGGGTCCCAGGTAGTCACTACCTTGGGAATATCAATCATACACTACAGACTACAGTTCACTAGTTTAACTTAAACTGAAGTCTCATCCCACGCCTCTCCATGAAGCAGGACCACCTCTCTTTGAAAAAGGAGGAGGAATTACATAAACATGAGCAACTTCAGAGACTTTTGTTGTTTGCCAATTGCTTTTCAAGAGCATTCAGGTAACTGAAAAGCCAAAGGTATCAGCTACGTTATTTTAAGGACAGATCAGGGAACATGAAAGTTTTACAGGCACCCAAATGGTCATTCCAGTTCAAATGCACTGCCCAGTCTGATTTGGAGTAATGTTGTATCAGGGGACAAGATTCAGGTCAGCAGCCTGTCTTGGGATGCAAAACTGTAAGCATACACCATCAAAGCAAACAAGGAGGTTCCCAGCAAGTTAGCAACCTCTCCTGGTTTGGCCAGTGAAGCCCACCCTAAAAGTCACCCAAGAGATTTTGTGCAGAGCCCGAGGATTAGGTTGTTCTATCCCAACAGTCAAGAACCATTAAGTTGTTGATGTATGCAACCCCACAGTTACTCAGTGATACACATCTCTAACGTGGCTTTAAGTTACACATGTGCCCCAAACTAACTGGTGGCCAGCAGAAGACTTCTTTTCAGCCCAATTATTTTTCTTCCCGCAGCATGTTGGGGATCAGGCTATCCAGGCAGCAGTCACTGCCCACACCGCATGCGGCCAGGGGTACAAAGGAGAAAGGCAATTTTTCTAGCAATGGCCACAACTCTGGCATTTCCTTCCTTGCAGCAGAGCCCCACGCTAAGTGCCTGGGAGTGCATCTGACAGCCCCTGGGTGTGTGCATGTGTGGGAGATGGCAGGGCCACAGATCTGGCATCCACGTTAAAAATAATTATTTCCAATCAGGGACTGAATGTAGAGGAAAAAAAGAATTTCTTGTCATAAACTCAAGGGCAGGCTGATTAATTAGCTAGCTGCATTTTACTATGAAGACATATATAGCTGTGTCAGCATTTGTATCTATTCTACAGATTTTTAGAAACCAAAAGACACTTTCAGTAATAAAAAGAAAGGGCTGGTCTATTGACAACTGCAAAAATTGGAGAGCACAAATACCAAATCATATTCTTCACTAAACACCATTTCTGGAAATAGTTGTCCCAGGGCACTTAAGAGCCTCAAGTGCATCATGTTTCTCCTGTTCCCTAAAAAACAATTACATAAAACCTTCTAAGTAACATTTCCTCACACCCCAGAGACTTCTAGGAGAGATCTCATTTTCATCATTCCTCATTCAACAGAAGGCTTCCTAACCATACAACTACACGAGTTTTATATGATTTTTGTCCTTGTTTTTACTGGCCATGATGATCAGCATTTGATATCACTGTTAAGAACTGTCACAATTTGTCATCATTACAGTTCTCCCCAGCTGTCAAACCAGCACTTATCTCTGGCCCAATTAGTTTTTGAGAATAAGCTGAGATTTGGAATGATTCACCCTAAATCCTAAAGAGTCTGGCACGCAGTGGTGACACTGGCTGATCGTTCTGTTCCTCGTAGGCATCTGGAAATAGTTTATACAACCATCAGAGCCAAGCCTGACTCTCTTCACACAATGTTGGGTATAATTCTTGAAACCTGGAGAACTAAGCCAAAGAACTGCATTTTTCTGTGTCTTGTCTCCCCCTTCTTAAAGGGTGCACAAAGTTTTTCTCCAAATCAAGCCATGGGAAATTACTGCTAGGAAGATTTCCCCATAAGTGTTGTTGAGGGACTCAGGTCCCTCAGTAGCATCCCTCACATCTGCAATTCCATAGTTAAACTTCTGTCTGAATGAAGGCAGCAAGCTATTAAATTTAATGGAAAAGGAAAAAAAAGTCTGACTAGGGGAATAACAGCATTTAACAACTAGGGGAGTGAGCCCATTGTATGAGTTTTAGTCAGGGAAACCACACATTTGCCCTAATAAATAACTTTACAGCTTGGCTGGGATACAATTACAAAAGTATTACGCAAGTTGTGGATTCCCAGATGCTAACAGCTTCCAAGCAAAAATCTAAAGATGTCAATAGGTTCTGCATAAATTCAGGCCCTCCAGCCTGAACCTACTTGCAGGACCAGCAACGGTCAATAGCTAGTGCAGACTGTGCTACCTTGTGGAGTGGGCTACATCCCTACTTAACGCTTCCAGTTAAGTTAGAAGGGGACCTACTAACCATAATCCAAGTGCACATGAAATAGTTTATTCAAAGGTGTTCTCTTGCACAGAGAAAACCTTGCAGAAGTTGTCTCAGGTTTGCAGTTATCCATTCATTCTGGGCAGCGTAAAAAGCACGTCAGACACATCTGGTACTGGAGGAAACAGATGCAACTGTATGCTGGCTTTGCCTGCATACCAGCCCATAAACGTAGGTGTCAGCTAAGGCATGAATTTAATTGTGATTTCCTTCACAAACACATGTAAAAAACTCTCTCTTCACTTCTACTTTGAAGGAAAAAAAAAAAAAGGAAAAAAACTCATTTTTCATTCGTTATCTTACAGTCAAGACTAGAAAAGCCATCATCAGTCCCAGATGCAAATGTTCACCTCTGCAGAAAATTATCCAGTAAAAGCAATGAGTTTGGAAACAAAATACATCTTATCATAAACCAACAGAGCATGAATATTTGAGGCCAAATTTCTCTCTATCCAAATCCATCTTCAGAACCAGCCGCCATGAACGCGCATTCCCAAGACATCAAAACTTCGAAAGGCAGGGTTTCACGGTAGGAAACCTCACTGAGTAGTGTCTAGGCTGAAGATGGCCTCAGATACAGCTCAGAGTGAAACTGGTTTGCCTTCGTCTAAAGACACAAATGCTGCTATCTTCAATACAGCTTGTTGCAAAGCTACAACTCTATGCTCTATGGAAACACACTATTGTTTTTGTATTTGAGCAAATCCTTCAGAAAGAATCGCAAAGTAATTAAAAAACCCGGAATTCTGTATTTATGAGAAAGTTTCTCTTACCCTTCCACGCTGGATGATTTTCGGTCGTTTCTGTGCTCTATTAATAAAAACTGGCTGCGGAGCTTTGGCATTGGGCCCAGATATTTGCATCTCAGGATAGATATTATCTAAATACCATTTAAATGACTTGCAGTTCAATCTTTTTCTCAATTCTACACGGTTAGTAATATTTCCATAGTTCCTCATCCTTAGCTCAGGTCTCAAGGCAAAATACTGTTCCTGTATTTAAGAGAAACAGGTTGAGGGCAAAGAAAGAAGAATTGGAAATTATTGATTTCCAAATTTTCCCTGTCTGCAGAACTCCCAACATTTCATTTCCTTTTGTTAGTGCTTTCAACCATTAAGTCTGAAATGGGCAGTAGGAAATTCCGGCGTTTAGATTGCCACTGGAGGTGAAATTTATCTTGCCTGACTTTGAGCTAATCTTTCTAGACAGATTTTTTTTGATGAAGACACTTCTCAGGCATGAATCTGCTGACCTTTTTTAAAGGAAACAAATCAGTGCCACACTCCATTGGCAATAAAGGCACTCGAGTCACTAGGTCAGAAACAGGTGTATATATTGTCATCATCCTCATCTGGCCAAGGTTCCTTTAAATTAGTTTGACTGTCCAACTGACTGTGTTCATTGTTGTGAGGTTCAGGTATATTTTGTCTTCCACAATTTCCCAGCCCTCCAACTTTACAAGTTACCAGGACAAAAAAAAAATTCCACATAAGAATGGCACAGTGCCTTGAAGGACAGTGGGACCATGCATTTATTTACATGAAGCAGCATGGTCACCTGGGCTTTCTGTAAAGCCCAGCTTTTTCTGTTCATCTGCATTGTCCCCAGAAAGGCTCCTGCAATGTTATTTTTTTCCTGTTCTAATTTATGGTTATATTTGGAATTATACCTGGTTAGGCAAGGACAGATTAAGATTCCAGCTCAATCTTATGTGCTGTTCCACTCTAATGCAGAGACAATGGAGACAAACAGGAATTCATGAGTGTACAATGTGACATGAGTACTATTAACAAAACTAGAAGAAAAATCCCCTTGTAGAGTCTTTAAATGCAGCTAGATTTAAAGGGCTCACAGAAAAGGCACTGTATTTGCACATTAACTAGTTTACTAGATATTATGTAGAAGTCAGTTTTTAGGGCACTGAGCTATGGTATCTCGTTGGATTAATCTCTAGCAGACACCTGGAACTCACCATAAGGTGGTTCTGACAGTTTTCAGCTACCTACTGCTGTCTCTGATATTCAGACAGAGTCAAATTGCACATCTGTCCTTATTAAGATCTGTGATTATTTTAATGTGCTTGATGTATCACTACTCTGTTAATAGCAGAGGAAGGAGAAGCATTAAGTGCATTGAAGTGTTGGACACCTCTGAGGAAGTCTGGAGACAGATTGGACATCACTGTCAGAAACTGGTCAGAAACTGGTCATAAAAGTAGCTCTGCTATTACGATTGCCTCTTCCCTGGCTACAGTTCAAATTTCGGTATCCTACCTTTTCTGCATTATTTATTTCTATTGTATACATGAACTTACTTCTTTTACACTTCGCTTGGATAGTTATGAAAATTTTGCTGTTTCCCTTCCATTGTGCAATTTTGTTTATTAAATACTGATAATTTCTCTTGCTGCAAAACAGGTCCTTTAAGTCTTATCTTTGTACTATTTATCATACAATCACTTCAGCAAATGATACTGGCCCTAAATATTTACATTACACTCAAAAACCAAAAATATTTCCAGGCTTGCCTTCCAGACATAACAGGCAACAACCAGAGAATTACATTAGAAACAGCTGGAAAAGTTCAGGACACAAGTCTGTGATAAGAGACTGCTAGAATCAGCAGTTTAAGTCCTTGTTGGACAAAGCAGTATTAGCTGGAAATTATAACAAAGAATCAATTCCAAGCTTCAGAGAAAGCCATCATTAATCACAAAACAACTGTGCCCAGACACCAGTAAAAGTGATAGTGATAGATCAAATCTACCAATGCATTAAGGAGATGAAGACTAGAGATAAAAATTAATGACCCCTAATAGGTTCCCCAAACTGACTGAACAAGATAAAGGATGGGGTTTGAAACATAAACCTCTAAAGAATATGAAGTTAATAAAATATATGTCTTGTGTAGAAATTGTAGGGACCACAGGAGCTGGCCACACAGCAAATCCTATGGTCTCCCAAGGCAAGATGTCCCCAGGTATCACAGAAATCAAGGCTTCAGAAAAACCTGATCTACATTTAAAACCATCGATACCAAGATCTGAACACAAGGAATACACATGTCCTAGAATCCAGAAGTCAATCCTCATTTGATAAGAAATACTAGTAGTTTAGTTCAAATAAACAAGTTTTAAATAGAATGAATCGCTCAGAGTCAATGATTCAGCATTAGGACTCAGGGGTTACAGGATAACATTAAGTAATTTGGTAACTGTTTTGTTATTACTAACTTAGCATGAGCAGCTAGATTTGCTGAAGCCTTAGGCCTCAGGCCATGAACTTTCACCTAGATATGTTTTTAGCTGGCATAGAATTGATTTTCTTCTTAGTAGCTGGTACAGTGCTGTATTTCAGATTTAGTGCGAGAATAATGTTGACAACACACTGATGTTTTAGTTATTGCTAAGCAGTGCTTGTCCCAGGTTTAGTCTGGCAGAGGCAGCAAGTGCACAAGAAGCACAAACCAAGAGATAAGGAGGCCACAACCATCAGCATAAGCTACAACTCATGAACAGCCAACAGCCAGCATGCAGACAGAGAAAGATTCCAGTAAGGTGTTAGAAGACCCTAGATCACCACTGGACCAAAAAGGGGTGCGAAGAGCGTGCGAGGGGCAGGTGCATGGATTGTAAGGGTATAGTTGCCCAGCAATTCCTTTGGTGGGGGTCCCTCTCTTGAGGCACCCCGCTCAAGCTGTTTCTTTCCCCACTGTACCATCTGAATTAGTTGGGGTTTTTTCTACATAAGATTTGATACCTGAGACTGCTACAGGAAACCATGGGCTAAACCTGAGGAAAAGAGAAGCCCTCGAGGGTGAGAATGTGTGTGTGAAGAGAGTCAGAAAGAGCACCCATCAACCCACTGGTGTCGTCTGCTGCGACAGGACTTAGGTCCTAGCAGTTAAAGATTCAAACAGTGAGTGTGTGACTCCTCGGATGGTGTATGAGTGCTCAAGTGGTCTCTCCTTTAACAGATTGGTTTTCCAGGGCAAGACAGATTAAGAATCAGAGTGCTAATTAAAACGGAAAGCAAACCGCCAACAAAATCCCTTTCTCATCAGCATGGAAACTACCTGAAGGCAGTCGTGTATGGCTGCCACATACTACTGATTCAGACACAAAGCAACGCACAGCTCGCAAGAGCTCATTTGTCATGTTTCACTTCATTAAAAAGGCATAAAAGTGAATCTCCCGCAGAAGTAACAGGAAATGAATTTGAGCACTCAAAAGCCAAACGACACTCCTACAGAATTTAGGAATTCATATCAAAATTAACATTAGGAAATCAGACTACAGAAGTAAGACTCCATTAGAGATGCAAATGGATTCCACTGTGATACAGCCCTTTGACAAAACAAGCCAGTTAATACCCTTATTTCATGACCCAGCATTGTCTCTTACCTTATATTCATCCATCCACACGTGTGCCAGCCGCAGTGAGTTATGAGCCATAGTGTCCTGTCCCCCTGGGGAGCCGTAGGGACGCCTTTTACGGAAAATGTGTCCCACCCTGGAGCAGGGGATGATCAGAAGTCTACCACCACACATCCAGATCTGCCCATACAAAACCAGAACACACCTCACTGTATGAATACTGACAGGGCTCACTGCCTCACAATAGCAGATTATAATCATTTGCATCTTTATTCTTTTCTTATGCTTCTCTATAGGTATTATGAAATGCTCCACCAAAGAAAAAGCCACAAACATTTAACTACAGAGCTCAAAACGCTCTTTAATCTTCCCATTAAAACTTTACTTGAAGATTATTGTAAAGGCAGTTACTGTGTGCTGCCGACATCCTTCCCAGGAATAAAAATACCTGTTTCTGTGTGCAAATAGCTATTCCAGAGCTAAGGGAACTGTACATAGGGAAGAGCAGCAGTCAGCCACTGAGGTTCATACTCCAGTACATATAAAAGCCAGATTACCCGGAAAGATATTTCCAGATTTTCTCCTCCCCAGATGTCCATGCCACTATCATACTGTCCAAGTTCATTGAAGTACTCCCGATCCATGGCAAACAGGCCTCCAGCCATGGTAGGTGACCTAAAAAGGAATATTGAAAGAAGTTTTCTTCTAGAGAAAAACCCACGCAGTAATTTTAGCTGAATCAGCTAGGCCCAAAGCTTAAATTTAGACCCACATCATACACTTTAAATCCTGCAGGCACTAGAATCGGATCACCCTTCTAGTCTCAAAACATTTCAAAAGCAGATCTGTAAGTGGTATTTGTGAACTTTCATTATTCTAATACCTATAAACCATATTTCTCTGTAGAGTAAACTTGAGGAAAAGGGGTGGGACGGGGAAAGAGGAACAAAGTGGCTGTCTCTCTGCTGAAAAAAAGGAAAAAAAAGTAAAAGCCTGTGCAAGTTTGGAGTCCATCAAGTTTTCTACAGTGAAACTGTGGATGTGCCTTTAATTAGATCTGTCTTTACCTGCAGCTATTTACCGTACAGTCACAAACATGTACATGTGCACACAGCAATGTGTTTGTCCCCTCTTACAGGGGCAAATTATACAAACCAGGCTTGACTGAGCTGCAGAAGGAGTAGAATCCAGAGTACCCATTACTCTCCCATGTTAAATTAGATCAAGAAACAAGGTCCAAATTTAAATTATACAAGCCGGAAGGCTGCTGAAAGAAATACTGGTCTATCTCACATACTGAATTTAAATAGCGGGAGCATTGTTTCATTACTGATGCAATGGTCAGTTATTGCTAAGTTATTTACAGTTTTTACATTTGCACAGATGTTCTCTTTGGGGTTTCCCAGCTGTTCGCCTTGCCTGTGTGTTACTAGAACGGTGTTTTGTAAAACTTTGTCTATGATCCCCACTGTACATTCTCTACATAGAGTCGCTATTGTATCACAAAGTTATAGTATGTGGATGCCCTAGAAGAGTATAAAAAAGTAAAAACTCTCATCAATATCATGGCTTAGTTGGAACATAGAATGTGCTGGGAACAGGCTTTTTCTCATACTTGTTAATAAAAATCTGTGATGAAACCAAGCCTAAGTCTGGATTGCCTTGCTTCTTCTCACACAGTTTTCTACTACAGTTTCTGTCACTTTAAAACCTGCGTTGAGAGGTTGCTCTCAATTTTTCCATCCCTGGCACCAATATTTCGTTGTGAAGGTCTCTAAAATGTAACACATAAAATGGCTTTCCATCAAGCTAAGTCTTCAAAGGTTAAATAGACATCTAGATTCTTTTTAAAGCAGGCAGAGACCTCAAAGTAGGAAAAGCCATTTTCATACTCAGAAAACATAGTATTTTTAGATGATTAGACTCCCTGTAACTATAAAGTTCTCTGCCTTTTCCATGGCAGTTCTTCCAAAAAGTCAGTTGAAGGAATGCAACAAAAGTTGAACACAGCAAGTACTAACCTTCAGGCATTGCCCAGATAACTGTGAGAACAGTTCTTAACAGAATAAGGATTTTAAGACTTTCTGTGCTGGTTCCCCACTCAGAATTTCCCAAGCTGTGCTTTCCCTTCCAGCTTCAGAAACTGCCACTTTCCAAACAAGCCAGGCAAACTGTTAAGTAACTTAAGAAGTTTCCTGGCTTTTCAGTCCAAATTTTGCGATGGGTAGGCACGGAAAGACTAACTGCGGAGCTGTCAGACAACAGGAGAGAACTTTGTCCTGGAGCTGCTTGCGTCAGCCTGAAACGCTGAATGCAGTCACGGTCCAAGAAAAAGAGAATGAGGGATAAGACTGCCCAATTTCTGATTCACTTTGCAAATCTTCTAGAAGTACCATACCCTCTGCAACGAGTCAGCTTGTGAAAGAAGTTCTTCACCTTACGAACCTGAATTCTGTACTGAGATGGCTACCTGCAACTAGAAAAAATCCACACCCAGATAACACTCCACAATGCTTAAGAATTGCTGCTGATCATCCATGTGTTACAGAGAGCTTCACACCACGTAGGAGGAACCTTACCTGATAGGAGCAGTGGCTCCCTCGGGTCCTTCCAGTTCTGACAAAGGAACAAGATCCCACTTGAAGTGCAGGCCCCAGTTAAACCCTCCACGCACAACCGGGGAGGAGCTGTAGGTAAGCGTGTCAGCACTGATTATGTCAATCACAGGGCACACCACAGTCCTGCGATCTTCTCTGATGGGAGTCAGCAGAGGTTGTAACCACATCTTGTTCACCTCACAGTGACTGTCCAGGAATACCAGCACTTTCCCTGCAGAGGCCAAAGCACAATACACAAAGATTCATGGTAACGTGAAACACACATAGACAATTATATCAGCAGTATCCTCACCCCCTTTTGAACAGGGGGGAAACACCATCTGCAGTTCAGAGCGCTGACAAACCAGAGACTCCACAGGGATTAGTCCAAAGGCAGAAGGCAGATCCCGCCTATCCACATTTAGATAGGAATTGCTCAAATGAGCAATTATTCACATTTCATTGACAGGGTTTCATAGTCATAAGAGGTTCTACCCAGACCCTACAGAGCTCCTGTACTTTAAATGAAACTTCACCAGCCCAGCACTCAGTCAGGCAGTGTGTTTGTCCTAATGCAGAGCACATCCCGTGCTAGACTGCAGAGACAGCCCTTCCACGATGACAGGTACTGGGCTGGATGACTTATCCCCTTGACAAAGCTGGTTTTGTCCACTGACTGTGATCGCCTTGGGCTCACTTCGTATCACACTTCAGCATCCATCCGGTTACAGCTACAACCTGCGGATTTTAAGCCAAGCCATTCTGATGAATTAATATGCATTCATCCATGACACAGGCCACAGCGTTTCGGTTCCTGAATATAATGTAACATGGAGCATCTCCCCATTTCAATAGCTCTACAGTGATTGTGGATTCATACCAGTTTAAAAGGAGAGTGAATGCCCTAAACGGGCTTAGTCAAATCCACCACTACTAGACCTAGCAACACTTCAGTCCCATCAGTTCCCATGGGTACTATCAGCCATGGTCAGAGAGGACAGTTTGATCCAGAGACCTTCAGGCTCAGCTGGTTTAAAAAAAAAAAAAAAAAATCACCTGAATGACACAACATAAAATTATGTAACACTGGAGTAAGGTGGAAGATACAGAAAAGAGCTTTAAAGAAAACAACTTAGAAACATACGAATATAACAAGTCACCCATTATCAACAGACAATATTTCACTGAGGAGAAAAAAAAAAAAACAAAACCACCAAACTCCAGCAGTTCAGAAAAGTAATAACATGTTGAAAATTGCAACAACACAAAGAATCCCAGCACAGCTTGGAAAGTGCAAACACAATTTCTCTCTGGATTATGCCATTACAATGTTAACAAGCAAACACCAATTAAGAGGCTTTATCTGCCACTCAAAATTATTTGAGAAAGTAGCTCTTCCTTTCTCAGACATCAAAGAATTTAACCAGGAAGCATATTATGGCAAAATGCACACAGCATACGTAAAGCGCCAAACAACTTATCCCAATAAATATTCACTGCAAAAGCTTGTATGAGAAGCATTACAATTAGATGGGTGACTCAGAAACCAGATTAGAGTGTAGCTTAGTAAGGAAGTAGATTGCCATTTTACAGCAATAGTTTTCACATGAAAATGCAGAAAATCATTAACTGACTTTATCAAAAGCAAACGTAGGAAAAAAAATAGAAATCAATGGTTCAGAGAAAGCTTAGGAAACACTTAAATTTGGCTCCAAATTTGCCAAGTCACTGAGTGACTTGCAAAAACACCTCTTTCCTCTTACACAGCAAAATTCTCTGAAGTTAGGTTCACTGGTTTTATAGGTTGTAATTATTACATCCACTCTGTATTTACACATAAGCAAGTACCAAGTTCTCCTTGACTCCTTCTCATTAAGTAACAGAAAAACCTCAGGTAAGGACGAATTCGATAAAGCTATGAAGAAATACTGCAGAAAGCTTTATACAGATCACAGTCAACAGGATGCTGTTAACATTTAAATACACACATAACATTAGTTAAGGACTCCAGTCACCATCATAAAGGTATCACTGAACACAGTTTGTATAGCTGTTTCCACACAGGTTAACAGCCAAAGATCAATGCAATTAACTCAAAGTCCCTGATATTCTAAACAATTGCTAAAATGTCTCTCATCAAGATAGCATTATCCCAAATCCTTCTTCCCATGTTCTAAGTTGTATAGCTTAGAACATGGCATGAAACGACATGCCAAGTCCCCAGGGCAGGTTAAAGCAATCACAGGTCAAACGTTCAACATCTGAAAGCTGCACTACAGAAAGAGGAGTCACCCAATTAACATACAGTCAATGTATGCAAGGAAGAGAGAAACAAGGGAGTATACCTGTGGCGTGAGAGGCTCCAATCATCCTTCCTCGAATCAAGCCTTCCCGCTTCTCATTTCTTACCAATTTTGTAGTTTTTGGAAGCTGAGTTTTAACATATTCACCCAAGTCTTTCTTCAAGTCAGCTGAGAAAAGGAAAACATACATTCAGCAACATGATGCAAGCTGTGAAGGTTTTGTTTAAAGTCCCAAGATGTTCAACTCCAAAAGGAACAAAAAACAAACAAACAAAAAAAAAAAAGCTACTCCAGTATAGCACAGCTTCAAACCAAGAGTATCATAGGACAGTCAATCCTACACCTGCTCACCAACTCCCGTGACCTTTTATTGTTGTTCTATGCTCACATTTTCCTGTTAACTGTTTCACTTTTTCCTGCTGCATTGTGCAAGCCCACATGGGCAAAGCAGGTACATACCCTGCATTATTACAAAATACTAGTTGTTTAGTTTAATTTTTAAATAGTGAATTGCTCAGTCAATGATTCAGCATTAGGACACAGGGGTTACAGGATAACGTTAAGTAATTTGCTAACTGTTCGGTCATTACTAACTTAGAATGAGCAGCTAGATTTGCTGAAGCCTTAGGCCTCAAGCTGTAGATTTCCCCTTAGACATGTTTTTGGCTGGGATGGAGTTGATTTTCTTTTTAGTAGCTGGTACAGTGCTATGGTTTGGATTTAGTGTCAGAATAGCATTGACAACACACTGATGTTTCAGTTGTTCCTAAGCTTGTCCCAAGCTTATTCTGGCAGAGGGAGCATGTGCACAAGAGCACAAAGCAGGAGATACAGAGGCCACAACCATCAACAAGATGAGAACAGTCAACAGCACGTCTGAAGACAGAGAAATAATCCAGTAAAGTGTTCAAAGACCCCAGACCAAAAAAATCACCCTTGGACTGAGAAAGTGTGTGAGAGGCGGGTGCACAGATCGTAAGGGTATAATTGCCCAGGTATTCCTTTGTTCAGCATGCCTCTCTGGAGGCACCCAGCTCAAGCTATTTTTTCTTTTTGCTGTACCATCTGAATAATTTTTTTTTTCAAGATTCAGTATCTGAGACACTGCTACAGGAAACCATGGGCTGAGCCTGGAAGGAGAGAAGCTCTCAAGGGTGAGAATGTGTGTGTGAACGAGTCAGAAGAGGCACCCGTTGGCTCACTGGAGTCGCATGCTGCAGAGGGCCTTCAGTTCTAGCAGTTAAGACTCTGAGTATGGTGGTGAGTATGCGACTTCTCGGAGAGCATACGAGTGCTCGAGTGGTCTCTCCTTTAACACCACTGAAGAGAGTGATGGACCATATTGCTGAGCCTTCCACAATGCACATTCCCACTGATAAGCACTTCCTTATATTTTCCCAACTAACCTTTTATGCACTGCACTGTCTCAGGTTTTATACTTAGCCTCTGTTTTCTGAATACAGACTGGATTGTTACCTTTCTGTTCTGTTTGCAAAGCCTTTAGTACAATATGACTCAAGTTAACTAGAACTCTAGACTCCATCCTAAAAGGATTTATTGCTGCTGGGGAAAAAAAAAAAAAAGCACCGTACAAAGAAATAGCATTTCCAAGTTCTTCTCATGGTGACTCTCATTTGCAGCAGAAGTAATGAATGCCCTTTCACACAGGAAAGTAATTTAAATTACTATGTTCCATACAAACGCTGACACCTTTAAAAAGAAGCACAGAGACACCTTTCATTATCTGTACCTGCTCAGCTGATACAATAGCAGATACAAAGAATTACAACTCACTCGCAAGTGATTGCTTTCCTAAAATCCAAAAGGATCAAAGACAGTGCTGACAAGCATGTGCATTTGAAGGAGAGCTAAGTTCACTGAAGTCTATAGGCACTACTGTGAAATAATAACATCCCTGACTTCAGGCACAGTATTGTGTTGCAGACAATTTGCTCCTTTTCTGTTCTTCAACCTCCTGCGTAGAAGGATGCCTTCAGTAACAGCTTTCAGCGTATCCTGTAGGCTGTCCCATATCAGGTAAAGCCTAACTCAGGGAGAAAGAGGTTGTACTAGAAAAAGAAATCCTGTCTTGCAGCAAAGGGAAAGAAAAATGTAACAGTGGGCTCAGCTGATCCATGGAAATGCCTGCTTAGCTAGTAAGACTGTCGACGATTGAGTGTAAGAAGCTTTTAGAGGTGAAACTAGATGCAAAGACCTGAGCTTTGCACAACAGCACTGAGTTGCAAGAGTGCTCCTATAATTAAAGTTGAAAAAATAGGCAGAATTTCATCTAAGATACCATTTCAGTAAGTATGTAATGTAAGGAAAATGAATTTAAAAAAAAAAAAAAAAAACACAAACAACAAAACAGAGGCATAGTGATGAAGCAATTTGCCCAAACTCCATGAGATCCATGACACAGTCAAAGTCTTTGTCTACCTCCTCAGTCACCAAACCAGCTTTGCCTTTCTTCAGCTGTAAAATTCCAGGCATTAAAATTAAGCAGCAGTGCGAACATCAGTAGTATCATCATCAAGAGCAGTAATTCTCTGTATAAACAAGATCTCCTCCCTTCAAAACATGTTCATTTGAAGTCAGAAAGGCAAAAGTAGCTACTTGGAATGTTTTGAACCTAATTTGGCCTTCTAATTAGTAACAGATCAGAAGAGTGATGGTATTACTCCCTAATCAGAGGCATTAACCAAACGCATTGCTGTATTCAAAAGACTGAGTTTTGAAGTAAGCTTAGTTCTGAATACAAAGGTTACGAAACTATGAAACAACAAATTGCACGAGAGTCTTAATGGCAAAGAGTGCATATTGTTTCCAAAACACAAACACAAGCTTTTAAATATTATGCATTCTTATCACCAAGGGACAGTGATCTTTATTCTCTTCTGTATCTTAACATTTGATCTGACCTCAGAGAAATGAACTAGCTGCATAGCAAGAGAATTTCATTCTACATTATCTAATCAGTATCCTGGAACAACTGCGACCTTAACCCACAAACCAAATGATGAGACCAAAGGAGCTAATTATAGGTACTAAAAAAATATAATCTAAAAATTATTTTAAAATGCAAGAAGCTGTGGACATGTACGAAGGCAAGCAGGGAACTTGCACAGTCCTGCTGGCAAGTACTGCTACACCAACACATTCCTCAACAGGCATTTTCATTTTGAAGGGCCAAAACGCTTCATCTGCATGTCTGTCTTTGCCTTGTCCATCACTCGAGAGAAAAATGCCGAGCATCAATCTTTCAACAGCTGTGAAGCAATTCTGCAAGGTCTACCCCTCCAGGGCCCCTCCTAGACTGAGGGAGCCGAGGTTGCTCCAAGAGCCAGGGACAGCTACTCCCAGGGTGGCCACAAGAGGCTGTGCAAGAGCCACGAAGAGCCCTCCCAGCAAAGGCTGCGCTCCCATCCCCACAACCACGGGTCTGAAACGCTGAGCAAACACAAAAAACTGCCATACTGTTTCCACAGTGCCACATCAGCTTACTTGCAAGACCGTAGCTGAGACTATGTGCATTCAATTCCTTTCAGTTAGTATTGGCCCAGAAAGTTTACGGGAAGATCAGCATAATCTGCTCTGAGCACCAGAGGAGCCCAAGCAAGGTACTGTTGAAAACAGCTGAGCTAGAAACAACTGCCTCATCACCCCCTACTGCAAATACACGCTCCTCATTATTAGCTTTGAAACCTGTCTTTGGATGTTAAAGTCTGTATGATAAAAGCTCATCAGCAAAACGGCACCGCTGTCAAAGGGGATGTCATCTTGAGCTTCGCAGTACATCGTGCATCTCTACTGGCCGGTACGTTTTGGAGAGGGACTGCAGTACAAACTGGGTTTGCATCATGGCCTCCCCATTTTTATTTCGACCAGTCAAAGTACAGGAGGAGACAGGAAGGTCAAGAAGTGTAAGTACCAGACAAGGTATTACTGGAAGGTTCTCTCACCCAACTCACTGTTGTCATCCACCAAAATAATTTCATGAAGAAGGTGTGCAGGAGTGCGATCCAGGACACTGTGTACTGTGCGGAGCAGGGCTGAAAGCGCCTCGTTGTAGAAACAGATAACGACGCTGGCAGATGGCAGATCAGAAGGGTAGGACTTGTCTCTACATCTGCAAACAGAAATAGAGTAGTTATTGCTTTATATTCAGTGGGACTTCCAGAGGGCTAGGTCACTACTGAAACTTCATAAATAACAAGAAAATATTGGGAGTGTAGGAAGAACCCCTAACTTAAACATAAAGAGCCCAGGCATGTAACGTGGTATAGGGCTCCACACAGCAAGCTACTCCCCACAGATTACGAACTTTTAATTAAAACAGAGGATATCATGGATTGGGGTGGGACTAAGAACCACAGATCCTCAAACCATAAACAACAGAAAGCACTAAGGGTGTGGTTTAGCTGTCAGAAGACTGTCATAGCTCTGGTAGCTCAGACAGTACAGGAATGGCAAATACGACAGCAGGCCTACAAAATACCCACAGTTCCAGCCGTTGGAGACTAGGCCGGATAACCCAGAATGCCTCCAATGGTGCTAAATCCCTATTTAGGCAACCAAGGTTGGGATTCAGCCTGCAGATTAAGACACTTATGTCTAGTCACTGCTGTCAGTGGAGTCTAGATAGCGTTCAGCTCACCCTGGGGCTGACAAGTGTGTTGTGTCAGCTGAAGAGCTCCGCATGCTTCATTAACCACACTGACTGGATCTCTGCTAATTATAATAAAAGCAGAGACAACTGACTAATATGCAGTTACCTAAATTTAGGCATCTTAATCTGCAAGCTGAATGCCACTCGAAGCAGATGATGATTCTTTCTTTCTCCTTATTTTCAAGTTCTGTCCATATTTCCAATACAGCACAGAACCACAGATTAATGCCATGTGAAGATGCCAGGCATGAGGGAATCCAATAAAAATAAGAAGCTACAAATGAAAACCCAGAAGTATACAAGGGGAGTCTTCATTGACTTGGAATTAATTCAGCACTTGGAAGAGACATTTCAGCAAGTACAATTCATTACATTTACCCACACCAGAGAAACCATTAGAAAAACAGATGCAGGTCTGTATTTTCCAATGCTGGGGTTTTTTTATTGTTGTTAAAAGCAGTGGGGTTTTTTTCCACCATATGCATCAGAGAGTATTGAAAAATATCTGCTTATTAATAGAAAGTATTCAGAGCAGTGTGTTCCAGATACCAAGCAAAGATTTCAACAGAGAAACAGAGAGCCTTTGTCATCAGTCATTCTTCTATCTTACCCTCTGCAGGCTTAAACCAAATGTGAAATAGTACATAAGGTGAAAGTCATTAACTTGGGTGCTGGAACATTTAACAACCATCTTTCAAAGGTACCAAATGGAATTATAACATCTCTTCTGGTAGTTACAGTACTGTCTCAAAAGGAAGCTTCAAAAAATGAAAATATTGCAGCATGCTTTAAGTAACTGAGTACTCAGCTAGCAAGAGTCATAGGATGTGTAATACTAGTATTTCTGCAAAGAAAGTTTGATTCCTTTTCCACACTGATTTTTATTTAAAGTATTATTTTTGGAATCTTGTTTCTATCAAAATAGCTGTCTGCCAAACCTACTACTTATAAAAATTAAATTAATATGACAAATGTTTCAATGCATGTGCAATCTGGTTCTTCATTAAGCATTCTTAAAGTGAATTAAGAATCAGGAAAAAATCTTTGCTTTCAGGGAGCAGCAGTCTTTCTGTCACCATGGAGTCTGGTTGCTGTGGGGCTTTACCCATCACATACCTTTTCCAGCTAGCAAAAAAAAAAAAAGATCTCCAGAAAAAAACATTAAGCCAGAAAAGACAGAAGAGATCAAAAAATAAAAATCCTAACCTCAAGCACACCTCTTCAAATAGCTGAAAATCTGCCTTCAGCAATACAGGAGACTGAAAGAATGCTGAACAGAAATGTAATACCAAAACATCAGATACTGCATCAGGCATAACGTAACAAGTCCTAGAGCACATGCAACCATACCATGTTCTCTCCAAAACTTAGTACATACTTTGCATCTCTTGTATCGGGCACCTCCCGGTGGTATCCCAGCCGATTACTGATAAGCATATTGAAAGCATGCTTCTGATAGCCCAAGTCTCTCACTTCCTGATCATCTTCATTAAAAATCATTCCTGCAACAGAAACAAACCAAGATCAGTAAGCATGCTCAAAAATATAATTTGGAAACAGTCAAGGATTGGAATGTATGCTTTAACCTTCCCTAAAATCCATCATGTTCTTCAAAAATCCCTCTGATATTGTAAAGTGTATTTCTGTGCAACTATTTTCATTACCATCATCTCCATATCATTCAAACTCTGCAGAAAATAATTAATAAGGGGATTCCTCATTCACATGCTACCATACATCCAGGAAAATGTTCCATAGAATCATAGACTAATTTAGGTTGGAAGAGGCATCGGGTCTAATCTCCTCAAAGCAGGTCCAACTAGATCAGGTTGCTCAGAACTCGTACAGTTAAGTTTCAAAAGCCTCCAGTATCTCCAAGGATGAAGATTCTACCATCTCGTCATTTCCCTGTTGAAGCATTTCACTACCTTCACACTGAAAATGGTTTTCTTCTTACCTAACTGAAATCTCCTCCTCTCTCCAATTTACCATAACTGGATATTGGAGCGAGTCCAGAGGAGGCCACGAAGATGCTCAGAGGGCTGGAGCACCTCTGCTATGGGGACAGGCTGAGAGAGTTGGGCTTGTTCAGCCTGGAGAAGAGAAGGCTCTGGGGAGCCCTTATAGCCCCTTCCAGTACCTGAAGGGGCTACAAGGCAGCTGGGGGGGACTTTTTACAAGGGCCTGTAGGGACAGGACAAGGAGTAACGGGTTTACATTGAAAGTGGGGAGGTTTAGATTAGATATCAGGAAGAAGTTCTTCACGGAGAGGGTGGTGAGGCACTGGAACAGGTTGCCCAGAGAAGCTGTGGATGCCCCATCCCTGAAGCGTTCAAGGCCAGGCTGGATGTGGCTTGGAGCAACCTGGTCTAGTGGAAGGTGTCCCTGCCCATGGCAGGGGGGTTGGAACTAGATGATCTTTAAGGTCCCTTCCAACCCAAACCATTCTGTGATTCTATGAACCACGTGCATTTCCAAAGTAAGGTTTGCAGCCTGTCAGTTCACATCCCCAGCTCAACAGTTTTGCATACTTAGTGCTACAGTAGCACTGTGCCACTGGGTCAGTTTAAAACATTTTCTTCCTACAAGATGCGAGCTTAAGAAACATGCATCAAATGTTTCCTTCAACAATTCATCCATGCCCAACCACTAACCACTTTTTTTCTGATCTTCTCAACATAGGTAGGAAGGACTGCCAATATTTTCAAAACATTCTCATGAAGAATATGCAAAACGCATGCAAAAGTCCTGAAAGACTTCAGTTCAAACAGCAGATAAAAGCCTTTGGAAAATAGTGGCTTTGCAATTGAAATACCAATTTGGGCTCTTCCTCAGTGTTATGTGGCTCTCAGATTAATTTAAAAAAAAAAAAAAAGAGATAGATTGCCCTACCAGATGACAGTTTGGTTTGGGCTATCTGATGCCAACTTCCTCCTCATTTTTTTTGCTTTGCCTGTTTAGCATCACTCTACCCTTGAGAGACAGGAAGCCCTTTCCTGCAGGACCTGATCTAATTCTAACAGAGCCAGCTGTCTCCTCATGATTCATGTAGAATATATCCTGGCACTATAATTCCCCTTGGCTTTCACCAACCAAACCAGTCACTTGGTTTGAAGATCAAGGGACTCCAGCTCCTATTTCTTTCCAGGCCCATGCTTTGTAGTTGGAAAGAAATGGCCACCTGTGGACTGGCCTTCACTTCTTGGCTCTCATGATTTTTGCAGCAAACTGATAAATATTTGTAATGCCAGAGAGCAACGTGAATTGGCATTTTTCCTACGTATTCACACAGGTCTAATGACCAACTGCAAAACTGAAGTTTGGTAGAGTTCAGTAAACTCTTGGAAATCATCATCCACCATTCATCCAAAGTAATGACACAGGACTTCAGTCGGATAGGAATATTAAACTCCTGGCTCTGAAGGTTATTGTGCCATATTTCCCAAAGAAGCAGCAGAAACCAATACTATAACACTCAGTATCTGCCTCCAGACTCAAAGCAAGTTCCCAATCCAGTACACAACATGCCTTAGTTTGGAGATCTGAACACAGCAGTGCATACGCCATAAGCAGTTAAACGTACAAAGCATTTTAGTCTGGAAGAAAAGTTTGGAAGACAAAACCAAATCATGTCATTGATGAAATATGCTCCAATGAAACACACAGACCTTTGTTGGTACGAAGTAAGCAGGAATTTGGCCCTAACCACTGTCATCTCAATAAATCTTTTATCGTAATTTTGTCCAACAGACATTTCTTGTAGATGATTTCATACTCCAAGGATATTCTCCAAATCGATGGGTCCTCTTTGTTGTGTATTGTTATCAAGCAATTTTTATTTACTGCACAGAAGCAAAGTTTCTCTGCAGCTAATTAAAGCTTATGTATTTGAGCCCAACCAATATAGGAGTAAGATATAAACCAAACATACACTGAACCTGACAAAAGCAAAAACTACATCAAGGGTAGATACCTTGCTGTAATCCAGTCATCCTCATCAGCACTTACACAGCACAACTCTAAGTGCTAAGAATAGCATATTTTGGATTAAACACAGTAGAATTAAATTTAAAGTCATTCCTAATGAAGAGAGTATTTTAACAAACCAACTTACTTCATCATAAAATTTTCCCTGAAATCCTTTCAAAAAAAAAAAATTTAAAAATAAAACCCTTAACATCTCATTTCTTCTACTGTTTTAATCAGTTTGTCACCCACACTGAAAACCACTTACCCATTTCAGGAGAGAATTCTACCTCTCCCTTAACTGGGTCCTGGACATGATTTCCAAGAGGATTTCCTATCTTACTCTCTTTCTGCTGCAATTCAGGTATATGAACTGGCCGCCGGGTAAAACGGGGGTAGAATTTTTTTGGAAATGGCCTCTGAGGTTCCAGCCCCTTGACGGGCACATTCTTAAAGGACTGGTTCTCTTCACTGAAGTTGAAATAAACAAAGAGCAGAAGCGTCCAGGTCACGGATGTGAAAAGGCACCCATAGCAGAAATAGCGAAGTGTGACGCTTCCCATTGTAGACTTAGCATCGTTGAGGACCCATTCTCAATTACCTGAAAGAGAGCAAAGAGCCATTTTTGAGTGTGCTGCCCATTACCTCATCAGGTCTATACACTAGGAAATTAATTGTATAGGTTGCTTTTCCATTAAATGATTTTTGGAACTTAAACGTTAAGCACAGACCTTAAGAATGAAATCCCTTTTCACTTTCCCATTCAAAAAACCAAATATGACAAGTTTGCACATTCTGTGTAGATACTAATGCTTTAAAACATGAGGCAAACAATCACTAAGAGCCCACTGACACATCACAACTGAAAATAAAAATGATCAATTTTTCCTCATAGTAGTTACAGAATTCCCTCTCTTCCACAGGAGTACATCCCTTGTACGCCTGCCTTCATTTAAACCTGCCACTGTGTAACTAAATATACTCCACACAGGGAATTGATTCTTCACAGAATCAGAATGCTTGAGGTTGAAAGGGACTTCTGGAAGTCACCTTGTCGAAGCCCCTTGCTCAAGCAAGGCCACCCTGAGCCAGACAGATGCCCAAGAGTATGTCCAGACATGCCCATTCAGTTCCCACCCTAAAGCACGGCATGAGAACAGAGGCTCAAAAAGCTACATAGTTCAGTCCTCCTTGTCCCAGATTTAAAAACAACCATCTTGAGCATCCCAGAAATTCCAGAAATCATGGGGTGCACTTTAACAACACCTAGCACCAAAACAGTCATATTCACAGATACTCTGCAGAAAGAAAGGAAACAGATATGGGATAGTGAAAGAGTAAAATGCTCCAGGGTAATTTACTGGGTTCCTGCAGGCCCATGTAGCCTCCAGAAGAGCTTCCATATTCCCTGGAGAAGCCCACCTAAACCTGGAAGGAAGCAACCCAGCCCAGAGTTTCACTTCGTGCACCCATCCACTAACCCCAAGCTATATTGAAAACTTGCTACTGAAAGCAAATACCTGAAGTGAAGCATATGAAGCTGGTTGATAATATTTCATTTATTTATGGACCAGCAGAATCAGGTAAACTTTCCAGTTTCTCAAATCTAAACAGGCTCAAAATAAAACCCCAAAAACTATACAGCTCAGTTCCCAAAACTGAGAAAAATATTAACTCAAAGAATTAGAGTTCTCTTATTATGTAACCACAACAAAATCTTTGCATAGTAACAAAGTCAGAAAGCAACTTAATCATATGTTAATTATTTTCTTAAAACAAATGTTTTGCTAAAGTATTGGGGTAGGAGTCAAGGGTTTATGCTGATGTATTTTTCAGACTTCTTAAAAAGTCTGAAACTACCAGAAGTCTTCGGGTCAGCCTGGCAAAGAACAAAGCACAACATTTATGAGTACAGATTATTCCCTTCTCAATATAGAAACTACTGAACTGCAGCAAAAGGTGTTCATGATCCCAAAGAAACCTATAAAGATCCCACTTATTTTGGCAATGTAATTCTGAGGCCTAAGTGACTTGTATCCAAAAAGAATACACGTCAAAATTCAAGCTCATATTTCCCAGACTGTAGCAGGTCATTGTCTCCCTTCCAGAAATGAATTATCCACAAAGAAAAATAAAGCAAAAAAGCAAACCTCCTCAAGAATAATTTACCCATTATTCTTACTGTGTCAAACTCCCTCACTTCTGCAAGGCAACAATTTACACTGTAGTTAAGTCCAAGGAGCTGAAAAAGGTCTTAAACAGCATTAAATCTCATACTGACCCTGTGCATACAGCTGAATTGTATGCTCTGTGAAACAGGCTCTTCCTCTAACACTGTCACACAGAGATCTTGCCCAGGCACCAAAGCTACAGGGCTAGAAATGATAAAAAACCCCCACCCTCAATCTAGCTAGCAGAATGGGTTTACCAGTTGGAGAGGTACAGACAGACCACCAACCCCCAGTGCCTTATTCCCTGTGCAAACAGTGCCCAATGATCACAGCAAGGCAAATCCAGGCTCAAGGCTGCAAAGGAATAAGATTAGATAAACAGTTATATCCTCTAATTATAGTAATTCTTCTTGCCAGACAGTCTGCAGACAATTAATACTTATCCATAACACAAGATCTGGATGCCTGCCAGTGCTTTCTCTCACGGCCACAGGGTCATCTACTCTAGACTTGTCCAGGACAATATAATGCTCCTCAAAACCTGCTAGAGTTGTTTTTCCATTCATTATGCTAACAGAGAGACACAATTCTATGATCATGGCACATGTATTTACATTGTGGAAGAGAATTATAGCAATTTTTCTTATAAGAACAACAGCAAAGGAACCTTTCCATTTCAGAGTTGTCTAGGGATACATCTACAATGCAGCTTGCACAGGAAAACCAAAGATAACCCTTGCTATCTCAGGTAACAGTAGGAAGACAGGCACACAGGGCAGAATTCATCACAGACTAAGTATTTCCCCAGGTTCTTGCATCTCTCGCAGCTCAGAGCTCCACTTGGGCGTTGTGACACTTGTAGCCACTTTAACTGAAGTTTGCTCTGACTGAGATGATGATCCTTAAGGTCCCTTCCAACCCAAACCATTCAATGGTGATATCAGGCATGCTCAGATTAAAGAGGAAGGGATAAATCAGTAACCCCCAGCACTGAAAAGATTGCTGTACATCTCTTCCATCTCCAGAAAGGCCTCCGACCAGGCTGAAAGCACACACTGGGTTGTTCTTACAAAGGCAAGAAATGCAAAGCTGAGCGTGAGATTATTTCCACATGATCCTTACTACAGCAGAACTGTTTCACCTTCTTTTCCCCTCCTTCAGTACTTTACAGTTTTGTAGAAGGATACAGAGGTTGAAAAACTGCATTTAAATCAAATGACAGAACCTCCACAATGCAGAAAACTAAGCCCTTTCAGCAGCTTGCTATTCAACCAAGACATTTGGTAATGCATTTGGCAGGGAAATACAGACTTGCTATTTATTTTCTTTAAGTACCAAACGTTTTGTTAGACACTTACTTTTGAAGGCAGACTGGAAAAAAATTAGATACTGCCTATGAAAAGCACATTGAGGCTTATGAGTTTATTTTATTCACCAACACATATGCATTTACACAACCACTGTCCTACAGATTTCAACCACAGGAGTCACAATCTGCGTCAGAGCTGCACACCCCAGATTTAGGTCGCCCATGACTTCTTACAGATGTGTTTTAGCAAAGAGGCCACAGTAGGTTTTCAAGTCCTAAGCAACGTCAGCCCTGCTTGTGATCTGCCCTGAAGAGCCAGCAGAACCTTTCCAGCCCTATACTTGTATGCATACAAAGTATAATCACATTAATACATCTCCACCTCTCCTCAATATATCAAGAAACAAGTATCCCTTCACTCATTTCAGAATGTAACAAAAAAAATAACCACTTTGATATATGCCAGAGGGAGGGAGGAGAGAATACTTCAGCTGGTCACAAGGACCCAGGGGGAAATGATCAGTTCACAGCAGCAACCACTCGGTCCTCGATTCTTACCTCACCCATCTCCCCATCCACGCTCTTCTTCTGCAAGCCATCTAGACACAGGGAATAAAAGCCTTACCCTGTCCAGACTCCTTTGCTCACAAGTTCTGCCAAGTCTTCTAGGAAACAGGCTTTGCTGATTTACCCAACAACTGTCTCTGACTGCCTGTGCATGGTCACAGTACCCTGATGACTCTCTTAAGCATCCATCCTCTCCCAGGTGGTTTCCAGAACAGGATTTTGAAACTTGAACAAAACCAAACCGTTCCTCTCTTTTCCCCCACCACCCCCTCACTTTTTTTTTTTTGGAGACAAGCTGTTCTTTGATACAGGAGATGCAGAGGATATGCCTTTGAAATCCAAAGTATTAGCATCTTTCTCAGCCCTGAGAGGTGCTGCATGAGAAAGATTATATGTATTTTTAACTCAACAGTCCTAAAGCTCTGCTAATGCAAGCAGAGCTAGCAGGTTTGAACAGTTAGATAGAAACAACTTAAATTAAATAAAGCAGAATTGCATTATTCATAATTGTCATGTATGCAACAACTACTGTAACACTGAGTCCAGCCACGAATACGTTATATGTGGACAGTATAGTTAAAGCCCATTACTACCGATTTATTCAAATGAGAACAAAAATACTAACTACTGTTAAAAAAAAAATTATTTCAACATATCAAGAAGAATTCTTTCACAATACAGTTCCTCATAGATTTTATTGGTAATTGAGACTATGGTCTATCATGTTTCTCTGCTTCATTTCCAAAAAAGCAACACAGTTGCCAAAAGTAAGTTTCCATAATACCTCAAACAATTATCCTTCCCAAAATCTCATGCAATAAAGAGCATGCAGAATGAACAGAAGACATCCCTGGATGTCTTCAAGGCCAGGCTGGATGAGGCTTTAAGCAACCTGGTCTAGTGCAAGGTGTCCCTGCCCATGGCAGGGGGGTTGGAACCAGATGATCTTTAAGGTCCCTTCCAACCCTAACCATTCTATGATTCTATGATTCCATGATTTCCTCTCCCTTGGCAATATAGGCGCTTTCACAGCAAATATTAACTGGTAACACCTTTAAGGAGTTCACAAGCATTCCTTCACATATACAAGATCCTAGGGGTACGTGGAGTTTGTGGCTGTTCACATTTGTATACCTAGGAATCCAGAGATACTCCAACATGACAAACATAAATCATTCCAAGTGGCAGCATCTCCTGCATCGGGAAATTTCAATCCCTTTTGGAGGCAACTTGGTGACCAAGAAAGAAAAAAAAAAAATTATCTTAGAAGCTGTCCTCATCGGCATCAACCAGATGAGGCCTAGACTGAATGGTCTTGAGGTCTATTCTGAGAATTTCTAACCAGATATTCCGTCTTTCAGTCTCCCTCTTGTTGCTGTTTTGACTGTCATATATTTATTGCCTGATAGTTTTCAGACTTATGCAATGCCTCGGAACTGAGTTTGCAGACCCACATGCCAGAAATGCCAAGAGTAAAATATTCCTCTCAGATTTCCATGAATTCCAGCACAGAACTCTCAGTTCCTTGCACAGGTAGTAAATCATTGATTTTTA